AGGACTTACTTGTAACAGAGTAACTAGACTACACTCTGGTACTTCTACTTTTACTCACAAGATCTGAGTACGCCTTCCACCTCTGCATTTACATTTGTCCCTGGTATTAACAGGTTCAAATACCGTGTCTGTCCAAAATGTTATCACTTCATCATTTTTTCCTATTAGTTATTTTAAATTAAAAAATCAAGGCGTTCCCGAGATTTAGCTTTCACATTAATGTGACAGACTGCAACCTAAAAACATAGCGCCGGTGCTGAAGAATAACTAGTTTACCTTAATGCACCAGTCATTAGCGTGTTGAGTGTCAGGTACTGACCTGGAGGAGGCCTCTTTCTGAACATCTCCGCTCAGCCGGCGTCCCTCTGCTATGGCCCATGGGATTGTCTGCAGAGGCAAAGACGAGTAAGTGAAAGACACAGAAGAGGAATACAACTGAGGGATGAGGAAGGTCGAGGTGGTTATAGAAGAGGAGGTAAAAACAATAAAAGCATATTTTCTCTTTTTAAACAAGCGACAAGAAAACTGCTCACTTAAAAAAAATAAGAGCAAGTATGTGATGCACTCTATTTATTGATATTGAGACCTTTTTTTGTTTCAGTGGGTGAAAAAAGATTTTTCTCTCACAGAAAAGAGAAAGTGTAAAATCAATCAGGCATTTCAACCACTACACAACCGGACACACATGTACACACACACACACACACACACACACACACACACACACACACACACACACACACACACACACACACACACACACCACACACACACACCACACACACCACACACACCAGACCATCTCTGGTCTGTTGGAGCCATAATGAGGAAATGACATTCAGCAGAGAGCTGCATCTGCCTGGGGACTGCCGGCTGGAGCCGGATCACTGTCAGTCTCCTCATACAGTGGAGGAGGAAGAGTAATGGAGCAGCATTTCCCCCTGCACTCTTCTCTTCTCACTTTCCCCTCTACCCATTTATGCTGACCTGTTAATATTACACACCTCACAGCTTTCACTCGCGGTGTTTTATCCCGGCTAAGTAACGGCAGGAAGATGAGAGATGGGGTTGCAGAGGGGAAGATTTAAACATCTCAGTGTTGGGCTTTAAATATCTCAGTGTTCTCTCATACGAGAAGGTACAAACAGGATGGCAGGCAGGCAGCAAGCCTCAAATCAATACTCCTGAGAAAAGTGACTCTGCCTCTCTTCATATAAGTTTAAGCAGATCAGCTTTCAGATACAGTTTCCAGAATTGTCTCTTGCCTTGTCATACACTCTTTTATTGCATGCTTCCTCCTCACTTTCTACACTGTATGCTTTCTCTTTTTGAATCTAGAGACTGTGGAGTTGTTTGTCATGTCTTCTCGCCTCTCTCTTTCAGTTCTCTAACTCTCCATCTGTGGATGCTGCCGCCTTGTAAAACCCTATAGATCTGCAGCAGTGCCATTAAATCCTTGATGGAATGTCAGAACTGCAACAACAACATTCAATACTTTAATCTTTAACATCCCAAAAGACAACCAGTATTGCATATGCTATTCCTAGTGTGTGTTACAGTAGCTCATGAATGTCATTTCCCAGCTCTGAGGCAGGTTGTACACACAAAAACACATTTATAGGCTATATGACCCTCTTGAATGAATGAACCGGATATAGAACAATGACAATAAGGCAGTCTTTCTTTCTTCTTTTTTTTTATACCCAGTGTTTGCTGTGTTCAATTTGGTTCATGCTGTACATTACAGAACATTCTCAGTCTTCACGTAATAATGACGTTAGTTGACCTTTCTCCTCTGCCGCTGTATTATAAAAAGAATAATTTTTCAATGTTCGCTGCATGAAACCCTGTGAACATGAACCCACAGATTACACCACTATTGTTACAATTATAAGGAACCCGATCTAGGAACTGAAACAACAAAAGTCTATCTCTAACAAAGTGAAACCATTACCCATTTGGCCTCTGAAGGAAGTTGTACATTTCTGGAAGAGTATATTCAAATTGAGTTTTATATCTCTTGTGTATATTGCCGCAGTAAATACTAATTCTGTTTTTGTGGTATCTGCACAACATTCGTTTAAAATTAATAACAAGTTTACTGTAAGTGACTTTAGTGACTTTATAAGGAAACAGAGAACAACAAATCACTTGATTAACTCTAACAAAGAGGCGTGTTCAGAGTCAGTTTGTATACTTTTTGAGGATGATGTGTGTGATACAGAAATGAACATCTATTGTTTATGGTATTTATGTTTGTCTTAATGCCAGTGTGTGTTTGACTCAGCGTTATGCCACACACTCCATACATCTGTCTGTCTTTAAACAATAATTAAGGATTGAGAGTGGTTGTTACTGTCTTGTGGTGTATTAATGTGAGGTCAGCATGGCATCCTTTATTTAAAAGTTTCCAGTAAGGATTGAGATTACACAGATGATGAGGTAAATTACTTATTTCAGTAGACAATGTCGTTATAGAATTAATGAAAAAAATAGAAATACTTGCTCTTTTTGCTTATTTTTTTCCCATTTACAGCTTGGACCAGGGGCCTACAGTTGTGGTAAAGTGGGCAGCCCTATAGGACTTGCTTTAAATAAGCACCTATTAAAACTTGAACTTTACCTGTAAAGTGTTGTGACTGCATCTTGCACAGTTGTGACGCTATTGCAGTGACAAAATCTGTCCAGAGACAGACAGTAAGTTAAACACCGAGCAAATGACTCAAAAGTGTTTGTGTGGTAGTTTCTGTAGGTCTCTGCAGGACCACATTTTGCCATTATGACACACTGAAAGCAAAACCAGTATGGCTATGGCGGCTGGTAACAATATTGGGGGGGGGGGGGGGGGGGGGAATAGCATACAAGGTTTCAGGTCAAAAACTCTCATAAGGATGCACACAACAACACATTCTTACAACACATGACCTGAATAACTCAAAGTGAAACCATCATGTTTCACTTTCAATTGGCCGGTTGCACATTTCTTAAGAATACATTTAATTTTACACCATCAAGCTCCAATGCTTCTTTAGATATCCATTAGAAGAAATGCAGTTATGTCTGGGCCTGGGGTCAGTAAAAACAGTGACATAACTAACTTTCACATTGACTTTGGGAAAATATTGTGACTAATAGTGGGCTACAGGGACGATTGAAACTAAGAAATCTACAGTAGGAACCGAGCAGATTTACTGTAAATAACACTGTCTGGCACAGTAATAAGAGCTGAACACTTTACAATGAAAACCGAGACACAAATCAATAGTTGTCAGCTGAGAAAGTAAGGCTGTAAAATAAACCAGCTGGCCATACATGATGGAGGCTTCTAAGCACCGCGACAACAGTTCAGGAAACGCAAACCTACCTTTTCAAGTTGGCTTTATAAAAAGGTTTCTGGTGGAGACGTCCTTGCTGCTGCTCTAGCCGAGGTCATGGTGAGGTTTCGGCTTGAACTGGACGTTGTCCCCGTGATGAGATGCTGTCACTGAGGTGGGAGGGTGAGGCAGGGACCGGGGACGCGCACCGTGTCGAGGTGAGGGAGGGTGAGGGAGGGTTTGGCTTCGGCCAGGGGAGAGGAGAGAGGAGAGGAGAGAGGAAGGGCTGAGTCTCCTTCACCTTCCCACCTCCACCCCAACCTCCTGCACTCAGGACCACTATCTGACGTTTTGCTCTGCATCAGTGGATGTCTTTTTTATAGGTGTGAATTTATATTATATATTAGTTTTACACTCCCACAGTTTGCATTTAAATTTAAATTGGATAATGTAAAGCTGTGATGACATGTTTCTAATTGTTCACACTTTCTTTATAGGCTACTCACATTTTAATCTTCGCTGCTTTCAACCCGTGAACAACACACTGCTGTTAGTAGCTATCACAGACTGGCCATGTGCGGTCTTTTCTTTTTTGTGCCATACCGCCCTCTACTGGTCAGTTTCACAGACTGTCTGGACAATTTATATTTATATTACAATTTGTATTGAGTCTGACTTTTAAAATATGTTTTGTTATGTTATATTGATGACCAATCCTGCTTAAGACAGATAACATTCAACTGGCAGTGGCTCAGTCAGTAAAATATGGAGTGTGGACTAGTACTTGAATATGCCCTTGAGCAAGGCACCAGATATCGGTTTATATTCATTTTAATAGATATTTAAAATGTCCTTAATTTATTTATTCATTTATTTATGTAATTCCTTTTTACATTTGTTTAATGATACTTTCTGACTTTAAGGTTAGCCAAGCCAGGCCTATACAAGAAACACCTTTAGTAAAAACCGTCTAAGGGGTTGACTGACTGAAGACACACAGATGTTACTTGAACTCAGAACCATCTAACTAAGCTTTTCTACAAGATGAATTCTGTACGTCTGTAAGTCTAATTAAATGTGTAACTTTACATCAAAATTCAGGTGGGTTTTCCACATTGTTTGGGGTTGCACCTCAGGTTTTAGGTTATCAAATGGATATATAAATATAATACAGTATCTTGAAGGGCTTATCAGAAATATGGGCATGTCTGAATTGAACCAACACATTTCAGTCTGTGAAGCAGCATGCCTTCCACCTGAGCTGTCTGAACAGTGATAGATAAAGTGACTCTCACTATGAAAAGCTGAATTTTGATTGCAATATAAATATGTTTCACTGTTGACATGTATCAGTCTGTACACTTTGATTTATCTTCCAGTTGAAGAGAGTGCTTTATAAGACTTCACATAATCAACATTGAGTCAGCTGTACTAAGTTTCAAAGAAACATTGATATATTTGTTTCACAGTTACATTTGATTTAATCATCTTAAGATATATTCAAACGTGATGATGGCATCTTACAAAAGTAAATACAATAAAGGAAAAAAATCAATATTATAAACAATAAAGACATCAATGTAAACAGAATCATCATTATCTCTCGCAGCTGCCTCCACATCTATAGACTGTGTTTGAGAAACTCTCTCTTGATCATACAGTATTCAAATAAGAGATTTTGGTATTATAGTAATCCAGAAGAAGATCACAAGAGGTCTGTGCGTTTTAAAAGTGGCTCAACTTAGGGATTTGCTTTTTCCAACTCACAACCAGATAATTGTCTTTAACTTGATGTCATGATGACATATCCATCACCATCACAGTAACCATTAGAGACGTGCAGCCTTTAACACCTCTCCGTTGTCCCACATTGTGCTGGGCTGCAGGACTTTATCACTGATGATAGAGAGAGGGGTGAGGCTCTCCGGAGGGTCGGGGTCAGGCAGGTGCCATTGGATGAAGATCAAGTACATGAATGTCCCTAAAACACCTCCTACAAGTGGGGCCACCAGTGGCACCCAGAACCAGTAGTTGTAACACCTGGAGAGCAGACAGAAAGGATTCAGATGAGAGTTTGTTATTTAAAGTGGAATTATTCAATGTTCTTATAATAACACTGAATCTCTTATGTGAAAGGGATTGGTTAATGAGCTAAAAGAGTATTTTCCTAAAACAGAAGCAGCTATTTTCCATAAACAAGCTCAGCTCTGCTCGGCTCCAAACAAAGTTACAGAAAAAATTACCGGCTTACTGTTGAAGAATGTCAATTATTAGAAAGCAGCTATTTTTCAATTAGTGTTGGTTTGCTAAAATACCACAGATTTGTTTACACAAACCAGTCAGGTTGCCACAATATCAACTCTGATTTGATCATATCGGCTGAATGTGTATCCTTGCAATAATTTCTTAACACATTATTCATAAGGAAAGTCATTTTAAATGTTTTGATTTTTAATTAAAACATTTATTTTTAATTATTATTATTATCTTTTAAAAATGTATTCAGTTAAAATTAGGGCCGGGACTCGATTAAAAAAATTAATCTAATTAATTAGAGGCTTTGTAATTAATTAATCGAAATTAATCGCATTTTTAATCACATATAAATATTTGACCTGAGAACAGTGAGAAGCAATTTTTTTCACATGGATTTTAGTATACCATTAGGCGCATTCACACCGCAGTACTTTTCCCACAAAGGTTCATGAGAATTTAGTTCATGAGAACTCTTTGAACCTGGGGGTGGATTAGGCAAATGAAGCCGCTGACGTCACTTCTTCTTCTTCTGCATTGGGTTTACTGGCAGGCAGCAAACCACTTCACGTCGTATACTGCCGCCCAAAGTCCCCGGCCGGAAGTCCCCGGAGTTGGGGACTGGCTTCAGTAGAAGCTGCTGGGAGTCCCAGCAGCCTTCCGAGTAAATCGCCAGAACGCCGACACCTCCTCATCTCCACCGCTCCCATGTTTTATTTTGTGTTGCCATAAGTTAGTCTCTCTGCGTTTCTGCGCTGGGCTAATAATGCTAATGCGAGGATAATAAAATGGCGGCTTCACAAAACTTTTTGGGAGTTTTACGGGGCGTGGTTTGCAATCCGCCCAGCCAATCAGAAATATAGCTCTTTTCTCACAAGAGAGCCGTACGAAAGTCCCTGCTCTCTAGCAGCTCTCTGCTCTCTAGCAGGGACTTTCGTGGGGGTAAAAAGGTTCTCATGAACTAATTTTAGTACCGGCTCTTTTTGGTGTGAACGCGATAAAAGAGGCTAACGTCCACGCTAGCTTCCACGCTAGCTGCTATATGTTTTGCATTGAGGTGATACTTGAGGCTTGATGTGCTGCGGTGATATGCGAATTCCTTTTTGCATAATTTGCACACAACCGTGCTCTTATCGACGCTTCCATCCGTCCGTTTTTTAAAACAACATTTCCCACTGTTGTTCACTGTGGTTTGTTGTTGTCTGAAGTCATGAACGTTAGTTGGTGCTCCAGTATAATCGGTACGCCTGAAACTCATCCAGTGAGAAACGTTCCGCGGTGCAAAAATAAGTGCGATTAAAATGCGTTAATTTTTTTAACGCGTTAATTTTTTGTGTAATTCATTAATCTTAATTAACGCGTTAAAGTCCCGGCCCTAGTTTAAAATACTTACTTTATATACTTGCCGCAAATGTTAGTGTTCATTTCTATTATATGTGTATGTTATTGTATATTTTAAACATTTTTCACTCGTGTAAATGCTTGACACTGCTGCTGGAACAAATATATGTTCCCAATTTTGGGATAAATAAAGTATCTATCTATCTAACTATGCTGGACTTTTCTGATATTACATGCCCCCTATTGGATAACATCAATGAATGCAGCTTTCAAATAGACAAGATCAAGCAAAGGGATTATTGAACAGCTGTGGAGCCACAGAAAACCCTATGATCAGGGGTGCCCAACCAGTCGATCGCGATTGACCGGTCGATCGCGGGGAGATTCCCAGTCGATCGCGAGATGTGTCTAAAAATAGAACAACAATATTATTTTTTATCGGTAATGTCCTATATAACATGATCTTCCCGTGCCAGAATAATGCACTTGATCGCATCACAGCTTTGTGATTGGCCGGCTAGACCCCATGTGTCGGGGCGTGGCTGGTAAACAACCCCACACAGCTCAGTAAAGACTGTGAAATGTTGACTTTATTTGATAATTTCAGTCAAAACTAACGTTCATATTTCTCTCTTTGATTATAATACTGATGAACGTTCAAAACAAAGCACTTTGGCAACTTACCACCTACGTTTTAAAATGCTTAATAAGCACCGTAACTTTCATGATATAATTTCTCGGTCATAATCGGTTGTTTCCGTGAACGGCCGACTGTTGTGCGACGGCAAATGCTGCGGCTGCAATGCATTGTGGGGCAGCATTTTATCCTCTCCTTTCTGTAAGGGGGGTCCAGTGGTTCCTAAGCTAAAGGAGGTTAAAGGAAGTTTGAAACCTCCTTTCCTTTCATTTGGAGAATTGGAACGGCACTTATCATGGCTGCCACTGACGTACTTCCGGGTCATTTCACTTGGTTAGGAAGGTTCCTACGCTCTGAGTTGAGTCTTTTCTTTTTTCCTGTGTCATATGTGGCAGCACTGTTCAATGTTTCTTGAAAACATTACCCACTGTAGTATGTGACGTGTGAATAAACTCCAACTCTATATCAACAACACTGTTGTGTAACTTCAGTTACATACTTGTATGTGTGTAGATTAGAAAGAGCAGGTAAGATAAAGGATCTGCAGTATTTTATGAAGTATTAATCGTACAAGGTCAGTTTTATACAAGTAGAAGTGTGTATTTACCTGGTAGTTTACCTGGTCAGTAATGGCTACGCCTCTCTATTTGGACTGGTAGATCTCAGCAGACTGGCAACTTTAAAAGTAGCTCTCGGTTCAAAAAAGTTTGGGCACCCCTGATAAACCTATGTTTGTGTTGTCAAGCAAACACCAGTCAGATGTTTTGTAATGAGCTGACACCTCATTTTCTATTGATAGTGCAGAAAACTGTTGATAACCTAAGACAAGGACAAATACCTCTTAAAATGTCCTTCAAACAGTTTGAATGAATTGTGTAGCTTCATCTGTAAGGCCATACAATTATTGATAAGAAATAGGAATTCCAGAGTCATCAGTTTGGAAAGTTGTGTGTGTACAGCTGTAAAGAGATAGAGAGATATACAGTAGGAGCTGTATACTTTTACTTACGTGAAGACCTCAGTGCCCCAGCCTGCAGTCAGTGTAAAGAGGCGTGGCCCCAGATCCCGAGCTGGATTTATTGCACCACCACAGTTGGCTGACATTGACATGGAGATCCCCAGGACGATCGCTGCCACTATCGCAGGAATCAGCTCCGGGGGGGCCGGGGTGTTTCTCTTCTCACCCAAACTCAGGATGCACAACATCAGCATGCCAGTGCCAACTACCTAATGAAAAGTGTAAATACTGTAATGCACAGTTCAATAAAGGAACAGCTGTTAAAATAATGAACAAGGTCCACACAAAGTCTCCCACTGACCTGGTCAAGGAAACTGCTGGCCAAAGAGATGTACTCTGAGGGGTATGTGGCAAATATAGATGCTGTTTCATTTGGGCCATAGACAGTCAATACTCCTCCACTAAACTCCATTATAGCATCTGAAACAGACAGAGAGTTAATGTTAAAAACAGTTTGTGCACAAAGCTTCTCCATTTGTTTGATTTATCTGGTCATGACTTAAGATCTTTATCTATCAGCCCATTTATAGCAATGATAAAGTGTTTTGAAGTGCCAGAAAGACGAACCATAGTAGACCAGGTAGACGAGTCCTGATGCCACATAAGCCCCCAACAGCTGGGAGAGGAAGTAGGGTACCAGCCTTCCCCAGGGCACCTGGCCCAACACACAGAAACTCAGAGACACTGCCGGGTTCAGGTGAGCTCCTGCAGAGAAACATAGGAGATGGATGGGATCAGACAAAGAAATGTGAAGGCAATTGAATAGTAGATTACTTGTAGTCATAAAGTGTGTCAACTGGTAGACATAATTCAAAGCAAAGACCTTGACACGCTGGACAAGGCCTCTTTTATATTACAGTGATAAATACAGAGTGCTCAGATCAGTGGATCACTGCTGAAATGGAAAAGTCTAATGTGTTTTAGATTTGTTGTTGTGGTTTTGAAATACTGACACAAATCAAGAAAACAAATACTCTGACAATCTATCCAATCACTGCATGCTAACCCTTACCCTACGTGTGCACAGTCTGCCTGTGCATTCATTCATAACTGTGAGTACTAACAATGGCCATGTTCATTCTTTACATTATTATGAATTTTCTAAGGTTTATGATGATCACTTTAGGGGAGTAGTTTGGAGGGTGGCTTGAAGGGATGCGCTGTCTGTGTTTCCAACTTTAGGGACTTTTGGAGACTTTTGCAAGCCATGTTAAATCTCCAGTTACTCTTTGTGGATTTCCTCAATTGACCTATCCCTAATCTTTTGGAAGTGCAAGGCAGAAAACTAAACACTGCTATATTTGACTGTGTATATATCTTGCAAATGTATATTTAGTTAGAAGATCTCATTATTTGAAAAGTATTCATTTGATTTACCTGTGATGCCCTTGGTGAGGTACATAGCCGACATCACGCCCACAGAGAAGGCCATGTTGACTGACAGGAACTGACCTTTAGTTTCTCTGCTCGTCTTCACCTGCGCCGCAGCAGAGCAGCCGAAGAGCTTAACAGAAGATGAAGAAAAAACCCAAAAATGAATGTTACATCAAAAGATATATTTTACACTTTCAGGAAACAAGAAACAATCCATCAATGATTAAATAAAAAAACTGTAGGTAATTATCAATAGGCCAAACAAACGTATCAGTTATCACAGAAACAACAGTGTTGTTGTTCAAATGTGGTTACTTTTATTGTATCATAAGCTTCTTATCTCAATGATATTACAACAAATAATCTGATTTGGAGAAGAGAAGAAGAAACACACACGCATTAATGTATCATAAAACTCTGATTAAACGTTATGGCCTATTACCAATTGACATGATTGATTTATAAATCTATGACAGGTTGAGGTCACATTAAAGCATGTTATGGTATCGTAAAATAATAAAAGTTTAGTAGCAGCTCATGAAATATATATATGTTGTGCAATTAAGCTCAATTCATAATTTGTTTTATACATCAGAGAATATAAAATACCATACACTGACGAAAGGATGCTGCAAATGTGCCATTAGTCATTACAATTAAGTTGTATAAATCATATTTGTTGTTGTCCTATTGCATTGAAAAGGAAAGAGAAGCTGAATAATGAGAAGGAAACATAATTTTTTGACTTTTTTATATATTTATTCATAAATTCATCTCTCTTCTTGTTTTCGTGTGCTTTTATTTAATATTTTAAAGGGGTGAGGTGGATGTAAAAAATTACACCATAAAAAAGTTCCAAAAGCTGATAGACTCACCAGCAAAACAAATGTTCCCAAGAACTCAGCCATGCACTCTCGTATCAGAGGATTCTTCACTCTCAGAACTCGGCGGTTCAACATTGTTCGAGTTAAATCCTTCTTTTCATCTCACACTGAACTCTGTCTCTGCTGTTAGACACACCAGCTGTTGGGCTGCCTCTCTGTCCGGAAGCTAAAGTCAGTCCTGATGCTAAAAAAAAAGAAGTTATTTCTGTCACAACTTCCAACTGAGCATCTGAAGACCTGCGCTCCCACGTCCTCTCTGCCTTCTCTTCTTCCACAGCTGGTCAAACACGGTTTCTCATTTATTGGGCAGGCACCCTTCAGGATTGGCTGGAGCACAGAGAGTAATGCCTCAGCTGTTGGAGCTTTCTTATATGAACAGGGGCCATAAACAGTCAGATTATGTGATTATAGCCATGACAAGCAATGAGCCGCAACATGCATACAGCACAAACCCATCTACCTCCATCAAGAAACCAGTTACTGATCTTAATGATAAATAGGCATCCATCCCTAGTTTCTTCATATCTTCATAAGGTTTATGTGAAAGACAGATGCAGGTAACACCAACATACTAAAAATAAATAGGATACCACTCACCAGGCCACCGTCACAACCAGAGGTTTACAGTATGACACCCCTCGCCATGATATATGCAGTGTACATACAATACTTTGTACTCTTTATTTTATGTCTAAAGAATTCAATTCATTAAGTTTTCAAAGATGAGCTATATGGATACGGCCTTGCTTTAGGTAGGTTCCTGGAATTGATGATCTATAATAATAATAATAATCCTTATATTTATTATAGCGCTTTATCAATGACTCAAAGCGCTTTACAAATACACATTATACATACAGATCATACATACATGTAATAGTCGTCTACTGTGGACAATACCCACAATACTCTGTGGAATTTAAGACCAAAAAACAATATATAAATGTACAAATAATACTATTGCTAATATTAGAATTATTGTGGTGAAGCCGTCTTTGGTGATAGTTTGATAAGGCAATTAATCCAGAAATCATTAAATAGCAAGATGTCACCGTAACCGTGCTGTACTGAACCCTGGACCCCTAGTAGATTATGTAAACCATAAAATTCCCTGTAGTAGTAAGAAAACGTGTTATTGCTGATCATTTTCAAACAGGCACACGATGCGGCAGGAAATTATTTGTTGACATTTGATAAGATAAAAATACTGTTTGAGGAAGTTGGTCCTATTTCCTAGTAAGAAAGCTTTATTTTATTAATTTCTTTACTGCCATTTCATTTAAAAACAGACCAGTAGACTATATTTTTTATTTGGTGATTTGAGTAAAGTAAATTATCACTATCTCTCCACCACAAAAACCTTGACATGATGCATCGGGGGACATATCTTATCACATCTTCTTTTCGGTATTACTAACTGATTGTGGTATGTGAACTGTATGATAGGGACAGACACCTTTAACTCACTGAACTTCACTGATAAGATGATATCATCGTAACACTCTCTACCTCTGCAGGACATACAAATACAATGCATTTCTTTAAATTAGGATTTATTAAAAAGCAATATAAACTTTAAATGCAGTTAGGTTTCATTCACAATATAAAACAATATGTATTTTCATTTACAGTTGCCACATTTCTAGCTTCAAGGTGACCAAAGTAACTTTTACAAAGGTTGGTTGACTTAATAAATGTATGAGCCATCAGTGCACTTCAATTATATACAGACATATCCCAAGCCTTGAGGTAGATGTAGATAAAGTGATAAAAATACACACTTTTGACCTGGTCTTCAAGATTACATTTCCTATAGGGATTTGTATTAATTACTACAAATTACTGAGTTGTTTTAATGGCCTTAGGAATAAAAAGGTATAGCCACTAATGGATGGGTTTTGAGCTGTCATCAGTCACTGAGCTCTACTGTGCACAAAGCAGCTGAACAGTCCTCATGTTTCCAGATTTTCAAGAGGGCGTCGAAGCACCACGTCCACAGGCCCAGTCGGCAGTTTTCTGATCAAAGTCCAGGCCTCCAGGCGTCTCATCCCCACCACGCTCACACCTTCAATCTCCTCGACCTCATCACCAGGATACATCTTGTCAACAGGACCTCCTGAAGGGTAAAAGGGTGGCTTTAATCACATGTTTGTTTACTAAGATCTTAAAGGACAGGCAAGGGGAAAGATAATTGCTTCAAGTGTAGTATAGTATAATATAGTTTTAATGTAGAACAGTTATTATGAAAGGGTTGCTTAGAATATGTTTTATTAAGCTTGTACTGCATAAGCAAAAACAGGTGTCTTTCTCTTTTCGGCCTATCTACAAGAATATCTGGATAACAAGAGCAAAGTAAAATAAAAATAATCGTCACTTTGTTTCATGTTTTTTTTTTTATTGATTTCTTAACCGATGTTATTTTTTAATAAAGTAACGTTGAGTACTCAATAAATCCAACGCTTGACACAATTTATTTAAGAAGATAAAGAGAAATCTTGTCCGCATGTTGTCGTTCTGGGGCTTTTTCCTGGTTTGGGTTCTGATTATAACAAAACCTTACACGGTAGCAAACGTAATCTTGACATTTTTATGCTTTTCTGTGTAAACATGACTTTGTTTACCATGTTAATTGAAATGAGGTCCAAAGACGTGGTTTCTGAGTTTGGAGTGAAAGAGCTAAGTTGGCCTGCAGGGAGCACGGACCTAAACCCCACCTAACAACTCATGTTCACCTCTTTGTGGGGTGGATAGAGTCTCTGTAATCTCTGTATTTCTTCTTTGGAAGATAAATAATACTACAGTCCTCACCCTGGAAGATCTTCTGTACAGTGAGGGGTCTGTTTCCCAGGTTGGAGTCCGCACCTCCCTCCAGGCTGAAGCCCAGATCCCTGCTGTTCTTCTCCAGTCGCACACACAAAAGCTGACCTGAAAGTAGCAAAAGCAGAAGAACAGTCAATATTTGTCTCTAAAAACGTGTATACAGGACTATGATCTGAAACTGGCCCTCCCGCTGTACTTCTCGGAGACTTCAACCTCCAGATGGGGAAGATAGACGAACTAACATCTCTGTTAACCGCCTTTGCTTTCTCACTCTCTCCGTCCCCACCGACTCATAAAGCTGGCAATGTCCTTGATCTCATATTCTCAAGGAACTGCGCTACTTCTAACCTCTCTGTAAACCCGCTCCACACATCCGATCACTTCTTCATTTCATTCTCTCTATCCCTTTCCAAACATAACAAACTAATCTCTTCCCATCCTACACTTGTCCGCCGTAACCTTCGCTCCCTCTCTCCCTCTACCTTTGCCTCGTCGGTGCTCTCAGCCCTCCCTTCCTCTGATTCGTTCCAACTACTGCCTCCAAACTCTGCTGCAGAAACTCTCCTCTCTACTCTCTCATCCACTCTGGACTCGCTCTGTCCTCTGACATCTCGGCAGGCTCGTCAGTCCCCTCCGGCTCCCTGGCTAAATGATGCACTGCGTGCTAATAGAACCGTCCTTAGGGCAGCAGAGCGGAAATGGTGGAAATCCAAACACCGTGACGACCTCCTAACCTATCAAGCTCTCCTCTCCTCTTTCTCTGCTTCGATCTCTCAGGCAAAAAGCACTTTCTTTCAAGATAAGATCCAATCTTCCTATTCCAATCCTAAAAAACTATTTTCCATCTTCTCCACCCTCTTGGACCCTCCAAAAGCTCCTCCCCCCTCCTCACTTCTGTCAAGCGACTTTGTTACCCACTTTGAAAAAAAGGTTAATGATATTCGCTCTTCTTTTTCTGACTCACCTTTACTCACCGCTGGGTCACCAGACCTTCCTTCCACCAACACACTAACCTCCTTTTCCCCTCTCTCTCCAAGTGAGGTTCTTACCCTCATTACCTCTGCCCGCCCTACCACCTGTCCTCTGGACCCTATCCCTTCAAACCTCCTTCAGACTATCGCTCCTGATATTCTATACCGTTTCTCACCCACTTCATCAACACTTCTCTAACTTCTGGTCACTTTCCAAACAGTCTCAAGGAGGCAAGAGTAAACCCTCTCCTAAAGAAACCCACTCTCAACCCGTCTGATGTTATAAACTACAGGCCTGTCTCTCTCCTCCCGTTCCTGTCTAAATCACTTGAACGCGCTGTCTTTAAACAACTCTCCTGTTATCTCAATCAGAACAACCTTCTGGATCCGCACCAGTCTGGTTTCAAGGCAGGTCACTCCACAGAAACTGCTCTCATTGCTGTCACGGAGGAACTGCACACTGCCAAAACTGCATCCCTCTCCTCTGTCATCATCCTGTTGGACCTGTCTGCTGCATTCGACACGGTGAATCATCAGATCCTCCTTCGCACTCTCCAAAAACTTGGAGTTTCAGGCTCTGCACTTTCCCTCCTCACCTCATACCTGAAAGACCGTACCTACAGGGTGACTTGGAGAGGGTCTGAGTCCGACCCTTGTCAATTAACTACGGGGGTCCCTCAGGGCTCTGTTCTTGGTCCCCTCCTCTTCTCCTTGTACACAAACTCGCTCGGATCAGTCATTAGCCCGCATGGTTTTTCTTACCACTGCTACGCTGACGACACCCAATTAATTCTGTCCTTTCCCCGCTCAGAGACCCAGGTCGTCGCACGCATCTCTGCTTGTCTAGCTGACATCTCTCAGTGGATGTCTGCTCACCACCTCAAGCTCAACCTTGACAAGACTGAGCTGCTCTTCCTCCCGGGAAAAGATTGTCCAACTCTTGACCTGACAATCAACATCGGCACCTCAGTTGTTTCCCCCGACTCAGACTGCAAGGAATCTGGGTGTGACCCTAGATAACAACCTGTCCTTCACTGCAAACATCGCTGCTACAACCCGCTGCTGCAGATACACGCTTTACAACATCAGGAAGATACGTCCCCAGCTGACTCAGAAAGCGACTCAGGTTCTGGTCCAGGCTCTCGTCATCTCACGCCTAGACTACTGCAACTCCCTCCTGGCTGGTCTACCTGCATGTGCCATCCGACCTCTGCAGCTCATCCAGAATGCAGCGGCTCGTCTGGTTTTCAACCTTCCTAAATTCTCCCACACCACTCCGCTCCTCCGCTCCCTTCACTGGCTTCCGGTAACTGCTAGAATCCACTTCAAGACACTGGTA